CTGATTGTTTTTTTTTTGTGTTGTAGTACCGATATTACAAGGCAAGGTATACACGTCATTAAACAGTTCACAGGAGTCGATAACGTGAGCATGGTAATTACGCCCTGACCTTACGGTATCTGTTGTTACATAGGTTTCTTGTTCATATGACCTGTACGCAGAAGTGTGACAACCTGTTACCGAAGATCAGAATTTAAAAGCTCGTAAATCCGAATTGATTGACCCATTGACGTCAGTATTTCATGTGAGCAATACACACAGCGCAATCGGTAAGACTGTAGCACGCAGTGTTACCAACATTGTTCTCTGAAATTTCTTCTGCTACCTTTCGTATCGAGTCCTCTGGCCTGTTTCCCATGCAGAAATAATCTGGTACTGTGGGCTTTATAGACAGTCGGTGGGACACCTTGGACGGGCGATCAGCCTCTACCTACACAGGATAACACAGACATCCATTGCTTCGAGTGTGATTCGAACCCACGATCCTAGTGTTCGAGCGGGTGAAGATATTACGTGACCGACTCTGCTTTTTCTGTGTGGTAACAAAAACCAGGTCTTTAAGCATTAAGGGGGTAGACGTGCAGTTTTTTATGGCTTAATTAATATTACACATGGATCAATGGAACTGGTGCCATCATCAAGGTTGTGAGGTCACTGGTTCAAAATGAGATCTAGAAAAGCGTGCTTAGGTATTACTTCGGCGTTGAGTGTTGGTTAAAAAGAGTAAAGTTGTCCCTGTGTTTAACTCATTAAGCATTAGGTCGTGAAGACATGCGGCACTAGTTGGAAGTGATTGGGTCAGCTCCACGCCACGGCCGTTTTATCCTCGAGAAAAAATGTCCCGGTATCTGTTGTACAAGAGGCTGTGTGGGCCCCAGAGCCTGTCTGGTCGACGTTGAGAAGAGATAATTCTTGACCCTACCGGGACCCGAACTTCGAATCCTCGGTCGTCCAGCTCGTAGCCAATCGCTGTACCGAAGGAGCTATCCCGGCTCCAGAGGTAAAGCTATTCTTGTAACAGACCGTGGAGGCCCATAGGGTTGTGAGACGTCGAGGCTCTCACATTTTCTAGACATCTCACGGATGGCGGTGAGGTTGTAGCCTTAGGCACCTGCCGCCATTTACCCCCCCCCCCACCGAAGAACATTCCTGGTGCGCATTTCTGTTAAAAACTGATGTTGTGCCGTGAAGGCCGACTCCCGATAATATGTTAAAAGAGTATTTAACTTTTTGTATTTTAGGGGAAAATGTTGGTTAGGATAGAATTAGTCTTGGGAAATACTTGTAAGAGGTACGAAAGAGGATGTAAGAACGGTTAAGAAACTTTAAGGAATTTCTGCGTATGGAGTTAGACGGCCGTTAGCCTTTGACGTGTCAATGTCTTGTCAGCAGATTGACGTTGGAGGTATATCGAACTGCTAACTACAGAATTTACACTTGTGTGATGGGGGGACGTTTGCAGGTAAAAGTGTTAGCCAAATGGTCTAGCAGATAAGGGGCGTGTTCATCCCCTTAGGACCCCAGCCAGCGAGATCACCCACCTTGGAATAAGACGTAATTGGAGGCGGACTTACACCCCCGGGAAAGTAATGAGCTAGCATGAATAAAGGTATATAACCCGGAGAGCAAATTATTATGGGGATTATTCAAACAGTAATTTTGGCCCGTTTGCGGCCGAAGGCCATGCCAGAATTGGCACCGACTAGACACCAGGCAACGCCATCCGTCTGCATACTCAACCCAAAGTAAGTGGAACTACTCTTATCGCCATGCTTAATAATTGTGATATTATTAAAGTGTAACCCCTCCAATGGGACTTGAGTTAGGAACGTTAAAACAAGTGTACAGGGCCTAAGAGTGATCCAACGGAGAGATGC